AATGAGTAAGAAACAGATCAGATGTCTTTGGAAAGTTTCTTTGCAAAGGGGAAAAGGCCCAGAGAAGAGACAGGAGCAGTGCTTAAAGAGCTCCGGCCGGGGGCCTGATTTCCGGATTTTGACCAAACGGTCCACCTTAACCAATCTTCATAGTCCGCCTCAACCAAACTGTAGTCTCCGGGCTTAAAGAGCTCCGGCAGGGGGCCAGACTTCCGGCCTTTCAAGCAAAGCGAGCATTAGACCAAGCGGCCCGCCTCAACTAAACTGTAGATAATAGACAAAGATGTCTGCCAATCAGAATTCTCATTGGTGTTCTTGACCAATGACTGTGAAACGTTTTGTAGAAAAGAAGCGCATGCGTTCAGTTCGGCGGTTAAATCAAATGCGATATGAAAGAAGATGGAGTTTGTCTCACCCGGTAAAGAAACATGTTTACTGGAGAAAGGAATTAAAAACAAGTGGTGCTGGGCATTGCTAGAGGAAAGGGGACAAGACGGGAAGCTGGCGGAAATTTTTACAAAAGGGGGTCACTGGGATTTCTTTGGGGGGCGAACTAGGTCGAAGGTAAATTTTACACCTTACAATCACAACAATACCAGTTTAGACTTTGAGCAACTTCCTAAAACTGTATTTTGTAACATTAAAACATGCTTGGCTGCAACTGTATCGATGGCAGCTCTTCTTTTATTCAGTGTTTGTTAGCTTCTGTTAGCTTCTTGGCGCAGCTCCGTTCTCCTGCTACTGGTAGCTTCACCGACCGCATCAGTTCAGCGTTACACCAGCTGATGACGTTGCTGTGATTCACTTTGTCTGGTATTTTTGTGCATATGTTTTGGCAGTTCTGTGATCATGTCAAAGCATCAACTAATATTAAAAAGTGTTTTATTTCTGTTTGAAAGCTGCCCGCTTCCATGGAAGGACAACAGAAAATAACTCTTATAAACATGTAATTACTAAAATCACGATACCCTCACTTTGTATCCCTCTGAAAAATGAACCCATTTAAATAAAGAAATCCCTCCATGGGTGATACCACGATAGAGAGCGTTCATTTTATAGTGTTAACATCGGTGCTGTAAGTGGCCCAGTATGAAACGGGTGTGATAGAACAACAGAACCACAGCACTTTTAAATGTCAATAATCAGAATACCGAAATAGTTTCCGTTGTTTTAAGAGGTTTACGTCAGTCTGCCTTTTCCCCATCGATGCGCTTCCCGACCGCCCTGCACCTTAGGGGGTTAAAAAAAAAAAAAACCACGCGCACATTGCGCAAAACTCTGAAACAGGAGAAGCGGGACATAAAACGGCGAACTAGATGTGAATTATGGCATAAAAACAGAAAATCCGACACTGAACAGTGAAAAATCAACACATGATGTGAAACACATGACGATTAGGCGGCGCAGCAGGTGATGAGTGAAGATTACTGGTGGTGAGCGTCAATAAACGATAAAATAAATCTAG